TGCAGCTGATGAACAATTAGGTGTACTGTTCAAAGGACACTGACCTTAGTTTGAGATTTGCAAATGTTAGCCACTATATATAAAAATAGATTTAAAAAACCCCAAATTTCTTCTGTATAGCACAGGGAATTATATTCAATATCTTGTAGTAACCTTTAATGAAAAAGAATATGAAGACAAATATATATATGTATATGCATGCCTGGGACATTGTGCTGTGCACCAGAAACCGACACATTGTAACTGACAGTATTGCAGTTAAAAAAAAGAAGTTGCCCTTTAAAAACCCGGAAGATTAGGACTAAGATTTTGGATTTGCTCTCTTGAAATTCTGATAAAAATTCCAATGAAGTTGTCTTTCACTATCTCTTTATTTGAATTTCTATAAATTATTCATAAAATATCTTAACTAGAAAAAACCAAACATGGCCCACTGAATTCAGATGATAGTGATAATCATTTTTCCTGGGAAAATGAGAGTTAATGCATTTAAAGAGATAAAACAGAGGTTTGAAAAATATGAGCAAAAAAACAAGGAGTATTTAAAAACAAACACATACCCAGGCTGATTAGGAAAAAAAAAGCAAACATAACTGCCAGAAACAAAAAAATCCTACTATTACAATTTAAAATTCAGTGGATGCACTTCTACTTCCAGTAAGATGGAGTAGATATAATTTTCCCCATCCTTCGTAAGTACAACTAAACCCCCTCAACATTCCGTATAAAGCAAACATAAGAAGACTGAAAGATTGAAGGAAGCAAGGATACCTTCCAGGACCTGAGGAATGATACAGTGGCGAGTTTTATCTTTTCTCGGTTTTCATTTTGCCCCTGCCTTGGAGCAGAAAAAGCCAGCAACCAGGAAATATCAACAGATGCAGACAAATAAAGCCCCCATAAAATCCTGCTTCCTCTCAGAGAAACAGCCTAGCAAGACAAAACTTTTCAACCCTAAACCACTCTACTCCAGCCAAATACCACAGGAGACACTGTGGCCCAGCTCCCTTCATGCCAGCAAATGCCTAGTGGGAAACCTAGATTTCTACCCTTGTGAGGCTGGTAATGACGTGCTGGGGAAGTGTCAGAGAAGGCCAAAAAAGGAGCTGGGACTTTCACCCCCACCAGCCAGTAATGTGCCCCCACCTACAGAGTCCGTGTGGGGAGCTGGAACTCCCATCCTCTCAGCACTGATGAGGAGTACCCCTCCTACCCCAGGTGTCAATGACACTAAGTGAGGATTCTGGTTTTCTACCTTCACTTGGTAGTAACAAGTTGGCATCTCCTGTTCTCCACCTTCTTCTGACCGAGCAACATCAGAGAGAGCCAGCTCAAGCAGAATGTTTAAATAAGATCCAGAGTCTCGTACCATAATACAAAAATGTCTAGGATTCAACCAGAATTATTCATCATACCAAAAACCTGGAAGATCTCAAACTGCATGAAAAAGTCAATCAATAAATAAATAAATGCCAACAATGAGATGACAGAGATGTTAAAAATTATCTGACAATGATTTCAAGGCAGCCATGATAAAAATGTTTCAATGAGTAATTATGAACACATTTGAAACGAAAGAAAAAAGTAGAAAAATTCAACAAGAGAAATATAAAGCTTCTGCAGAAAATAAATGCTATATGGAAAAATCAAATGGGGTTTTATAGAATGGAAAAATCCAGTAACATAAATAAAAAGCTCACAGGAAGGGTCCAACAGCAGAATGGAAGGAACAGAGGAAAGAATCAGTCAACTGGAAGACAGAACAACAAAAATTATCTAATCTGACCAATGAAGAGAAACACTTAAAAATAAATTAATTAATTAAATAAAAGGACTTGGGGCCTTGTGGGGCTATAACAAAAAAAAAGCTAATATTCCTGTTACCAGAGTCCTGGAAGAAGAGGGGAAAGAGAAAAGGGTGAAAAATTACTTAGAGAAATAATGGCTAAAAACTTGCAAATTTGGCAAAAGAGATAAACCTATAGATTCAGGAAACTAGGAGAACTCCAAATAGGAAAAACTCAAAGAAATACACACCAAGACATATCATAATTAAACTTCTGAAAACCAATGACAAAGATAAAATCTTGAAAACAGCCATTTTAAAACAATATATTCATATAGAGGAAAAGCAATTAATATGACAACAGATTTTTAGCAGAAACCATGGAGGCCAAAACAAAGCGGCACAGTATTTTCCAAGTGCTGCAAAAACAAAAAAGAACTACTAACTAAGAGTCCTATATCCAGGTTGATCAGGCTGAAAACATTATAAAGTCTTTGTAATATTCAGGAGGAAACTAAAGATAACAGGTAACCACTAAAAGAAAAGATACAAACTGACAGAGAGGAGAAAATGGGAAGAGAAAAGGAGAGGGAAAATCTGCCACCAATCCAAAAGCAGGGAAGAAAAGAAAAAAGCTCATAAAGAGGGACTAATAAAAAGATCATGGATGGTTGCACTAAGCCCAATTACATCAGCAACCATAAAAATGTAAGTGGAAAATTTTAACATACCTCTCTTCTTATAGATCAAGCAGCCAAGCTAAGATATAAGAGATGTGCTTTAAAAACTTCATCTGATTATACATACTTCACTGCACTCAAGAATTAGAGAATACACATTCTCAAGCACATGTGGTCAATTTTCACAGATGCTTCATGCACTACTGGAAAAGTTAAAAATACAATACTCTTTGATCCAGAGCAGACTTCTGACCAAATGGAACATTATATTGTATTGTATAATTTACAAAATGAATGAGGGGTAGGCTAGTCAGGTAGATAGGGCCTTCTGAAGATAGCACTCTGCACGTCCTGTATAACAAATCAGCCCAACTCCAGCTGTGGAAATGTTTTCTTAGACCAAACTTCTTTTTTTTTCAGAGATTTATATTGGCTTCGGTTATCCTTCTTCATGAGTTTCTATGTGCTATCTCTGTTTTGCTCCCCAAACTCAATGTACACTTACTGTTCACTTCTTGTGAAAAAAGGTGAAAATATAAACAGCTGTTGTTCTTAAGTAAGAGACATAAGACATGAGTCAAGAAATGACACCTCAGTCAAGGCTTCATTCCATTGGGGGTTGATAAAGCATTCACACTCATCTAACTTCCACCTGGCTCCCACTGCATGCAAACAGAATCAGGGGGAAGAGGCAGAAGAGAAAGCGTCCTTGAACTCCTCTGAGACTTGACTGACAACCAAGCCCTCTCAGTCCCTTGACCACATCTTTCAAGCCCTGTTTCTGAGAATAGAAAATTCTAAGCTCAGTTTGAGTGTCACTGTAAACTCCTCTCTATGCCAGATGATTTTATCTGCATATTTATATCCCAAGTACAAACAACTTAAAATGTTTACACTGAGGAGTAATGGAAGTCATGTGTCAAACACACTGGGAGGAGAGAGTAAAGCTTTCTTCAGAACTAAAGCTTGAAGATATACAATGTCTGTGGACAATCTGGCTTACAAATTAGAATGCATTGTTTACCTATTCCATTTAATTATAGAGAACATGCATTTTTACCCTTTGGATACAACGTCTAAAGTCTTGTTTTTGGGTTTTTTGGTTTGGTTTTGCTCCGCACTGTCGCCTGAGGCTCTGGAAGTCTCATCACTTCATATAGAGAGACTCTAGGCACATGGCCACATGTTTTCCTGTCATTTGTGGTCCCCATTTCCTTTAATCTCCACTCCCGCGGAGACGTAGTGAAGGATCCAGCCACCATGGCCCAAAGCAGAAGAACAAAAGCAGTGAAGACAGCTCTCCTCTGACGACTGAGGGCTCCACATGTCAGCTTTCCTACGTGATGCTGGAAAGACCAGTGGAACCACAGGAGGCCATGGACAGGCTCTCAGCATCTTTCTACTGGGGGAGAGTCCTGTGACTTGATCACTAAGTAAGAGCCTGGGGCGACAGCTTTCCCTCAGCTTCTAATCACCAGTCATGCAGACACGACCACCCAGAAAAGCTCTACAGAGGATATAGCATGGCTTCACACAGTCCACAGTTGTCCACCCAAACAGAATCCACTGAAGGCTGATGATGAAGGGGTCGCGAAGATAGCAATGGATGAAGACAGTCATGGCTGCTGGCTTCTCTGATGCAGCGTCTTGAATGGATAGATCATCATGGTAAACCCGTAACTCTTAGGTCAAATCCAGCTCTTCATTTTTTGAGACTCAGAACCCCACTCTACCCTATCCCTCCTCATCATGCTCACCTTAGTCATTGTCATGTGCCAGCCTCTCAAGTGAACTCAGGTGTCCTGGCTCACACAAGGTTTCTGCACCCCCTGCCCTCCTCTCAGCCGTGCCCTGCACAGTGCACTTGGGATTAATGATAACTGCCCTGAATATTCACCCGAGGCCTCTAGCCCTTTTGGTTTTGAAACTCAGAGAAGATGACACCACTCCACACTCTCCTTTTGCTTTTTCTGTCGCTTGGCAGAGAGATTACTTTGTCTTATCTTACTGAGGTAGTTACATTGCTCCTCCCAGCTGCAGAAAAGAGCATCTTATGCATTCTTTTAAAAACACACATTCTAATTTTCAGAGAAGTTGGCACTTCATCAGAGGTAATTTTTATACACTCGTTCTCAATTTGATTCCTTAGATGTATTAAGCCAGGCCCCCTGAAAATGCAGTTTCTCTCATTATCTCCCCAATACTCAAAACCAAAAGGCTGGGAATGTTATGAGGAAGCAACAGATCTTAGAGGGGAAAACAGAACAAAATTTGCAAGGTTAAACAAAAACATGGACCGACCCTCTATACAGTTTTTACTTTAAATTTTTGCTTCCCCAATCCACATAACCAATTTTAAACAGAACCTAATTAAAGCTAAAAGAACCAACCGACAACATACAGTTTTAAATCTTTTAATCTAGAATGTTTAGTTGCTTGATGTACTTTGTATCACACCCTTAAGTTCTGAGAAAAAATACTGAGATATGTGATTATTTAAGCTACATGAAATTGAGGATCGAAACACATCTTACCTGTAAATATGTTTCCAAACCTTGTCGTCGTTGTTCCAAGACTTTTGGGACCCAGTTCCGAACATGTTTAGAGGGGATTTCTGGAGTTTTAATACATTTTTTAAGCTATAAAGACAAAAACAGAAAAAAAAAAAAACCCAAAGAAAACATCTTTTAATTATAAAGACATTATTTGAGGGGAAAGCCAATAAAAAAAAAAAAGTGAACCACTGCTATTTCCAGTAAAAAAGATAAAGGAAAATATAAATACACTGTAATTGTGTCAAAAGATTCTTTATTTGGCTGTCCTAAATGTTCAGGTTTCAGGACAAGAGCTGCGTGTTCTTGGAGTTGTTATTGTGTACCATCTAGTATTCTGGACTAGAATTATTTTTTCTGTAAAATTAGAAGTTCAGTAGATGAATTATAAAGGAAATATCAAAGTTTAAAATTTCCAAAATCAACTAATACAACAAAATTTTGGTTGGAAGAAGCACTTTTCTGATGAAAAGTCCACGTATTTTTCAGATAAAAAAGCAAAATAAAATGCAGTTGTTTATAATCATCCCTGGAAATGCCATATGAACTAGACTGTATCATATGGAGAGTTTTTTAAAAGTTCTATGATTAAAAAGAACTAAAAAAATAGAGAGACTGATCCTTCCAACATCCCTAAGCATTGGGTCCAAATTCTGTTGATGAAAACTGAATGATGATTATCATCTAAGCCCTTCTCCACAGCAGTTTTAAGGGGTTATTATATAAATTAAGGAAAATTCTATTGGAAGTTGAGTTAGAGCTGCCTGTCGCAGGCGCATCCTATCACATCCACACCTAAACTTGTGAATATTACCTTACAGAGCCAGGGACTTTGTAGATCTGATTAAATTAATTATCTTACAATGGAGAGATTATTCTAGACAACCTGGGTGGGCTCGATGTAATCATAAGGATCCTTACAAGAGGGAGGGAGGAAAGTCAGAGTAAGGGAGACTGGAAGATGCTATGTGACTGGCTTTGACGATGGAGGAAGGGTCATGAGCCCAGGTGACCTCTAGAAGCTGGAAAAGGGAAAGGAATGAATTTGCCCCTACAGTTCGTTGACACTTGATTTTAGCCCAGTGAAACTCAATTTGGATATTTGACCTTGAGAGGTATAAGATAATAAATCTGTGTTGCTTTAAGCCACGAGGTTTGTGCTAATTTGTTACAGCATCAACACACACAAAACTAATACATTATCTCTAAGATGAAATAATTTTTAATGTTCTAATTAAAAATTTGGAAAACCTACTGAATCTGATCCTTTACTACACATGCCAAGAAATAGCATAGTGATCTCTAAGAAAGTGCACACAGTTAAACCCCAGCATCCAAAACTGCAATAAAAAATTCTTCCCATACATAAGCATATATTCACCATTAACCATTCCAGGCTGAAACATGTTGCACATCATGAAAATGGAGGAGTCTTTGTGCATTTCAAAGATCTGCCCTTCTAGTTCAAGACGTTAGCCTGTCTGCCTCCTTCCTCCACACCTGAAGCGCCACTAACATAACAGTGTGAAAGTGCTAGTTGCAAACCCAAATCTAGTCTCCTTACCAACCAAATTCCTAAATTATTGGAAATACTGTATTCAGCTAAATTCAGCTTAAAAAGCGAAGAGTGTAAGACAAAAGTAATCAGAAGTCACTGAGGAAAGCTTTCTATAAGAACTCTTTTAAAGTGGAGCAAACTCAGCTGACTTGTACCTTCTGTCCTACCCCTCTTTCACCTCTTCCTGCCTAGAATGTGACCGTGATGGCTGGAGCTGCCATGACCATCTGCCACCATGAAGCAACTTGGGATGGAAGACAGGTATACAAATGACTGAACAGAAAAAAAGGAGTCAGTGCCTGAGCTCCTCCTGGAGCCACCACAAGAGCCAGGACTGCCCACCTCCAGACCTGTTTTTTAGGAGAAAAAAACTGCCCCCCTCCATCCTTATGACCAGGTTACCAGTATGTGGAATTCTGTTTCACATACCTGAATTTAATACTGGTAGACATTATAAAAAGAAAACGCCCAAAGGGAATAGGACACAGAACAATGAAGAAAAGGGGAAGGGAGGAAGGAGTAATGACTAAGTGAAAGATTCACAAGTTTCTAAAAGACGGAAAGCAGGAGCAAGATGATGAAGAAAAGAGAGCAGAGGAAGCCGCAGCCCAGATCACTTCAGGGAGGGGGCCTGCAAAGGCTCTGGAAACCAAACTTCTCAGCAGCCTGAGAGGCTTTGTGCTCAGAACTGGCCTTAGAGGAGGAGGGAACGAGAAGAGGGATCAGCAGATGCCCCAACCTGTGCTAAAGACCACAGAGATGACTGGCAGCCCTGGGTTATCCCTAAGCATGCACACCTGCACCCCATAAGAAGGGTCACTGTTTCTAAAGAAACTGAATGGAATGTTTGGGTTGAAGGGTGGTGGCCACTTCAGTCAGTGTGGTTTTCATGGGGTCCCCCAGCTTAATATCTGGTTCACTCCCCTCATTCTCTAAAATGAAGCCCTTCTTTTGACACACCCTACAGAGGGACCAGACATATGTACCCAAGGCAGAGGAACTAAGGACAAATACCCAGAATAATTAACCTAGTTGGATGGGCCCTCAAGGATCTCTTTTATGGGAAACTAGCACTATGAAGGAGAAAGGAGAAGACAAACAGACTGAACTAATCCTAAAGGAAACAGAAAAATCAAATAACAGGAGAGATCTTTAAATTCTATTTAGTATCCACAAGAAGATTTGAGAAGTTATTGCTTCTATCAAACGAAAACAAGTTGGAAAAGAAACAAGAACAGGTTGCTATGAAAAAGAAACAATATGGGGTGGGGGTAATAGTTCAGTAGTAGAGCATGTACTTAACACTCGTGAGGTCCTGTGTTCAATACTCACTACCTCTATTTTAAAAAAAGAAAAAAGGAAACAGAAAAAGAAAGATTTTGAAAATTTAAAAAAAAGACAGAAAAATTTAAAAATTAAAAGATGTAGAATATAAAATCACAGAAGTCTCTCAAAGTATAGAATAAACAAAGTGAGAGAAAAGGTAGGTGAAAAGACAAAACACAGATAGGATTAATCCAGGAGATTTACTATGAAATTAATAAGACTTTCATAAAGACTAAAAGAAATTTTCAAAGAAATTTGCAAAGAATTAAAACATTTTATATGACCTAATATATGTCTTCAGATTAAGAACCCATTCAGTTGTCACCATGATGTATAAAAAGGGACTCATACTTACTGACATTTATCTGCTGAGATTTCAGAATATCAAGGACAAAGAGAAGATAGAGGGAAAAACATAAGGGGGCAAAAAAAAGGAAGCAGAACTCACTGGCAACTGACTTGCCATCAGCAGCAATGGGTGCTGGAAGGTCAACGCTGCAGCAATTTAATCTGACATGGATTTCTAGAACCAGCACACCATCAATCATGAGAGAAAGCTTATCTCCCATGCCTTTTTTTTTTTTTTACACCAAGTGAAGTATGTAGTTCTTGAAACCTGAGAGATTAAAAGCAAGGAAGAGGAACATAGGATCAGGACTCATAGCTCTTCCCCATCAGCAAGGGGAAGGGGAATCCAAGGGCAGACAGAACAATCAGCCTAGATTGGAGCCAAAGGGCAGAGGATTTGGAGACAGAAGCCTCCTGGAAGAAGGTGGATTCCAAGCAGCAGATAGTAGGGAGAAGATGGGTAAATTCAGGATTTGTTAAAAGTACATTATTCTTTGGTCTAACAGAAAAAATAAATCCCAGGGAAGACAAAGAGCCCCTGAAGGAGGTCATGGAATAGAAGACACTAAGCTCCCATGTTTTAGTCTGGTGTTAGAAACACTCCTGCCTTCATGGGGATCTCATACCCAGAAACAGATAAAAAAAAACAACAAACAAGTTTAATAAAACAGGGTAAGGGCAGATAGTAACAGATGGGAGTTGCACTGAGGGCAGCTGGGGAAGGCCAGCATGAGTCAGGAAAGTTCGAGGAGCCACCTGAATGATGCTGGGAAGGGCCAGGTAAGGAGCTGGAGAAGGAAGGTTCCAGCAGAGACAGAGCATGGAAAGGGCGGGCCAGTCCTGGCATTCAAAACCCAGCAAGGAGAAGACAGTTCAGAGAGGTGGCAGTGTCAGACATGGTAGGGCCTTGGAGGCCATGATGGGAATTTGAGTATCTTTCCACATGGGAAGCAAACTGAACGTTTTCAGCAAGGAAATGACCTGACAGGATTTTTACTTTAAAGAAGTCACGCTTGATTCTATGAGCAAGATGGATGGTGAGGGGGTGGAATCTGAGCAGGGAGCCCAGGAGAAGCTCCTGTGGAAGTCCAGGGAAGAGACAGTGGTGATGTGGACTATGGTGCTGGCAGTGGAAGTGCAGAGCAGCAGAAGATGGTGGGGTTACATGGAAAGGGGTGATTAGAATGACCTCATGACCTTGACTCTTTCAGGTTTCTGACATCACCTGGTAGCCTCTTGTTCACTGAAAGGTGGGAGAATGCCAGGTTTAGAGTTAAGCAGCAGAGAACACTAATTACCTCCCCCAATCCAATCTTCCCTCTTCTGCAGAATATAACACTCAATTTTCAGCTGAGCACATGACCATCCAAAATAAGGAACACATTTCCCAATCTCCCTGGACTCTATGTGTGGCCACATGACCGAATTCCAGTCAGAGGCAGGCAATACACATGTATGTGCAACTTTCAGAAGTGACCTTAAAGGGAAGGGCTGTTCTTTCTTTCCTTTCCTCCTTCCTCCTAATGGCTAGACCTGGAGCAGTCACCTTTGACCATGAGGTGGAAGCCTGATGTTGAGAATGGGAAAGCCACAAAAGCCTGGTTCCCTGATGACCATGAAACTGCCACACCAGCCCTGACATTTACGTGAGTGAGAAATAAAGATGCATCTGTTAATGTCACCATTATTTTGGTTCTACAGTCACTTGCAGCAAAACTGAATCCCACATGAGTGGGAAATATGGCTGAAACTGCAAGCTGCCTGTCCACTGTTCACTCCCTCTTTCTTCCTGCAAACAAAGCAAACAAACAAAAATGTCATTCAGAGTGCCAACTTGCTGAGCAAAACTTGATTT